ACAAACTTGGTAGACACTCACAATTCATTTCTATTGCCACTACTTGAGCGCAAAACTTCATGGGAGAAAGTCGTCCACCCATCAGAAAGAGCCTTCCATCTTGAAGAGTTGAGAGACTGGCATGCATCCGGCTCACTGAAGAAAACAAACAAGAGGGCCATGATGGCCCTGAGGTCGCTCACCTGTATATAGCCCCCCCATCCCCCCCGGGCCAAATTTTACCCAAGGGCTTTTATTTGTTTATTTGAAAGACTTGGTAGACACCCATAAGAAGATGTTTCATGCTAAACATCTAAGTTCTAGCTCATTGGGTTTTTTAAAAGAAGATTTTTTAAGTTTTTACTATACACATATAGTTTAAAAACAATGACACCCCTGAGGCAGGGCCAGTTTTGACCCCCAGGCTTTTATTTGAACAAACTTTGTAGATATTTACTTAAAGATGTTTCATGCTTAATATCTAAACTCTAGCTATTTGGGTTTTTTCAAAGAAGATTTTTAAGTTTTTGCTATACACATATAAGGAAAATTAATGACCCCGGGGCGGGGCCAGTTTTGACCCCAGGGCTTTTATTTGAACATACTTGGTAGACACCCATTAGAACATGTTTCATGCTAAATATCTTAGCTCTAGCTCTTTGGGTTCTTTAAAAGAAGATTTTTTAAGTTTTAACTATATGCATAAAGGGAAAATCAATGACCCCCCGGGGCGGGGCCAATTTTGACCCCAGGGCTTTTATTTGAACAAACTTGGTAGACACTCACTAGAAGATGTTTCATGCCAAATATCTTAGCTCTAGCTCTTTTGGTTCTTTAAAAGAAGATTTTTTAAGTTTTTACTATGTGCATATAGGGAAAATCAATGACCCCCCGGGGCGGGGCCAATTTTGACCCCAGGGCTTTTATTTGAACAAACTTGGTAGACACTCACTAGAAGATGTTTCATGCCAAATATCTAAGCTCTAGCTCTTACAGTTCTTTAAAAGAAGATTTTTTAAGTTTTAACTATATGCATATAGGGAAAATCAATGACCCACGGGGCGGGGCCAATTTTGACCCCAGGGCTTTTATTTGAACAAACTTGGTAGACACTCACTAGAAGATGTTTCATGCCAAATATCTTAGCTCTAGCTCTTTGGGTTCTTTAAAAGAAGATTTTGTAAGTTTTTACTATATGCATATAGGGAAAATCAATGACCCCCTGGGGCGGGGCCAATTTTGACCCCAGGGCTTTTATTTCAACAAACTTGGTAGACACTCATTAGAAGATGTTTCATGCAAAATATCTAAGCTCTAGCTCTTAGGGTTGTTTAAAAGAAGATATTTAAAGATTTTTCTTTTGGTTGCCATGGCAACCAGAGTTCTGCATGGAATTAAATTCTTTGAACAATTTTTAAAGGTGACCACCAAAGGAACATCCCTGTGAAGTTTGGATGAAATTGGCTCAGTGGTTTATGAGGAGATGTCATTTAAAGCAAAAGTTTACGGACGGACGACGGACGGACGGACGCCGGACGAAAAGCGATCACAAAAGCTCACCCTGTCACTTTGTGACAGGTGAGCTAAAAAGGGGGATTTAACTTTTTTGTCAATGACTTAAAACTCAGTACTTTAAGCTTTATCATTTCAGTTATTTTATCTTCTTTATTGTTGTTTTGAAGTAAGGTGTTTTTCTATTCTTTGATCCATATGTGCAATTATCACATTATTTCACTTAACCTTTTCCCTTATATATATAAGCGTGTTTCGACGGCTTTTTGCCCCCCCCCCCCCTTTTTGTGGCCTCAAACATTGAAAAAATGCCCTATTTAGACCCCAAACACTGTTTTTCGTTTGAGAAATGTTGTTTTAAAAAGTGACCACTTTTTCAGCGCCGTCCCCCATCCAAATATTACTTCAGGAGGTTGCCAGAAGGGGGATGTGCCCCCTTCTGTTTGGGGGGTTTGAAGGGGGCGGAGTCCCTCTCATCGCCAAGAAAATTTTGGACATGTGATAGGCTAAAAATGGCCTCAGGTCGATCTTAGGGTAACTAGTAACGGACACTGAAAAGCCTTTTACTCTATCTCAATTCGTTAGGAAGTTGCAGCACTTTGAAATCAGTTATGATGGAAAAAAAACAATGCAAAATAGTGATTTTTGGCAACTTTGAGACGTCCCCCGTTGCCACGGTAACAGGAAATTTACCATTGAGCATGCTGTTACAGAGGCTATGGTGTAGTCAATATTTGTGCCAAGTTTCATTAGTATTGAAGCATTTTTCATAGTTTCATCATAGCAGTTTGAACTTGTTACAGGAGGCTTTTCAATGAAAACGGCCATTTTTCGCAATATGCTCATGGGGTAAAAGGTTAAAGAAAAAATATTTTTGATTAAAATAACACTTTTAAATTAATATATAATATATAACTATTTGATCTTTTGTAAGCATGGACTCAGTAGGCAATTTTAATTTAAAGCATAATCAATCTTGTGACAACAATTAACTTTGAGTAACGTGTTTTTTGTTGTTAATTTTAAACATGGGATAAAAAATTGTTAAATTATTTAATGCTACTTTAGTGCTTTTGCGATATATAAACATCTATATTACTCTGTGCAAACTTGGTGCACATGTGTATTGAACACCCTTTTTTTCATTATACAAGAGTATGAAATTTAGGTATTAAAATGCATTAATCATTTTTTTTTATAAATTTTATTCTTATTTATATAAAAAAAAATACAAAATGATTCATTAATTATTTTCAATTACTAAACACATTAAAAAGCATACATTAGATCTAATTAAAAAAAATCAGAATAATTTATGCTAAAATATTTTCTTTTCTAATTCATATCAATTAATAATAAACTTATTCATTTGTCAAACATCTAAATACTTCAATACAATTTTTTTTCTCTAATTTATATTGATTTCAATTAATCATAAATGTACCCATTTATTTAATATATAAAAACTTAAATATTTTTTTTTTCTTATTCATATCAATAAATATTAAACTTACCATTTATGTAACATCTATATACTCCAATAATAATGCATTAATAAAACATAAAAATGGGGAGGAACTGTCTGCTTATTTGCAAATATGCAGACGGTTCTCCCCAAAAATAGGGAGTGAACCGTCAGGAAGGAAACTTCAGGGGTGGAACTGGTAAGGGAGAGAAAAGTCTTTAAATTAAATAAGAAGCATTGGGACTTTTGCAATATTTGTCATGTATAATCATTTTTTGTATCTAAAATTAATTATTATATAAACAAAACTTACCCATATGAGAAGTTTCTGTGTTAAAATTGGCTGTTGTCAAAAAATTTCCTTTTTACACTGTTTGGTATTAATGATATTAAAATTTGTTCACTTCCCTAGTAAACATCTCTAAAAATTGGGAGTAAAACGTCCATACAATTGACAAAATGGGAGTGAAACGTCTAGGTGTGAACCGTCTTGGGAGTGAAACGTCTCAATAGTGAAACGTCTTGGGAGTGAAATGTCTGACATTCCTTATACCTTGAGATATCAAGTATGTATAGAACTTGAATAAATAACTTCACTTACCTGGAGCTTGAGGTCTCTGTGGCCGATGATGAGAAATATATGTTTGCAATTTTATATGATTATAATTGCTAACAAGCAGTTGCAAACAAAACATCAGGTGAGCGAAAAATATGACAAGGGCCAACAGTGATGACATGTGTCGCCTCATGTTAGCAAAATGCATGTTGCAGCTACTGTGTCGCAGGATGACCAAAAATCATTAAAAGGGCAAAACAAATTTTTATTCAAGGCCCATAACTCTGCTGAAAATCCTTTAACCGGAAAACCTGTGTAATATGTGCAAGTACTTAAGCTACCAATCAATGCTGTAGTTTCATTAAAATTGCATAAGTGGTATAAGAGGAGTAGTCCGGACAAATTTTAATAATTGAAATTATTAAATGGATGTTACCCTGACAATAATCATTAAATCGAAAACTGTTGATGAGATGCACAACTAGACATAGTGCGGTTATTCCTGTTAAGTTTTGATGAAAATGCACAAGCCCTGAAAAGTAGTACAAGCAAGTAGCTGGCAACACAAAAAAGACACCTTTTTTATTGAAGGGCCGTTACATTGCCAAACATCATGTAAGTGGAAAACTTGTGTTATATGCACAAGTAATTGAGCTACAAAACAATCCTGTAAAGTTTAAATGAAATAGCATAAGTGGTATGAGAGAAGTATTCCGGACAAACTTTATTAACATCTTTTTTTTTTTAGGGTCTTAACTCCGCCAAATATCATTCAAGCAGAACACCAGTGCAATATGCGCAAGTACTTGAGCTACCAATCAAGTTTTAATGAAATTGCATTAGAAATATAAGAGGAGTAGTCCAGACAAACGTTGAAAATAAAAATAATGTAAGTGCAATAACTCTGACAAAAATCAATGAACCAAAACAAAAAGCCGATGAGATGCACAACTAGACTTGGTACTGACTATTCCTGTGAAGTTTGGATGGAATTTCACCAGTTCACAAATTTTCGCTAGGTAGTAAGTAGTTCGGACAAGATTCTGTGTAGCTGGCAACACACAAAAACTCTTTTTTTTCAAGGGCCATAACTCCGCCAAAAATCATTCAATCGAAAAACCCGTGTGTGTAATATGCGCAAGTACTTGCAATGAAATTGATTGGATGATATAGGAGAATGGTTCGCACAAACTTTAAAAATAAAAATCATTAAAGGGCCATGACTGACAGAACTCATTGAACTCAAATGCCGACGATATGCACAACTCGACTTTGTACTGATCATTCCCATAAGTTTGGAAGAAATTGCACCAGTAATTTCTGAGGAAGAGTCCGGACAAGTTTTGCCACAGATGGACAGATGGATAGACAGACGGTGGAGAAGTGATTCCCATATGTCGCCACTACTCCGTAGAGGCAGCACAAAAATGGTTCTCTATTTATGGAATTAATTTATTCTTATTGTAAAGAAAAGATAATGCATAGTACCTTGGTGTTTGCTCTGGTTCCTGTGCTGAATCATCTGAAAATAAATGCATGAAATGATTTACTTGTTTGATAGAAATCTTCAAAAGGAACAAACGTATCAAATATTATATAAAAAGGACAAATTAATGATCAAATTATAATTACTTCTTTATAAGTCAACATCAGCAAACATAGACTCTTGGGTAAAGTGTTTGATGTCAATTTTGGAGTAAAATTGTTTATTAATTGTATTGCAAAGATGACAATTAAATAACAAACGTTTTTGTACATGTTTCAATAAAGAAATTTAACCAAATACGTGTAAATAACAATAGATCTTTATCCGTAACGATCGATTTTTAAGATTTTGTTCAGTACAAAAATCGATCCTCCCCTTTCTAATATTTATATATTTTTATCCCTTATATCAAGCGTCAAATAATTGTAATGTGTGTCAGTTGGCTTTGATATTGTTGAACAAACTCAATCAGTGCGAGCGTATATGTGTGTGTTCATGTTTGTTTATACAAATGAACCTGTCGGTCATAACGCATGATTAATCAGAAATTTGTAATAAACAAACTTAATTAACCTTATAATTCCCAATGTTTTAATAGTTAAAAGCAGATTACATCATTATAGGAGCAGGTCAAAGCCCTACACACCTGTATTTGAAGAGCTCGGGTTCTCGGGTTGGGGAGATACTGGCTCTTCTTTTACAACATTGACCAAAGCATTATTTGGTAGCTTTACTCTGTGATTCAGTAGAGCATGGCTGGAAATAGTCTTTATAACCTTTTGGAAGAAACTTGATTCACACGTAACTATCACATTCAGCAGTCCTTTGATTACAGCTGCATAGATTATATCAAATTTGTTGAGCCAAGCCTCGACAAAGGAAGTATTATACTTGTATTTGCCTGCAAATTCGTCAATGACAATAACACTGACTTTTCCAAGTGTCACTTGTTTCCAGTCACTGGCCTCTGTAAGAATAACACATTGTTCTTTGCTGTAAAGTGATGAAACCAATTTCAATGCAAATCTTGTGGATGTACCACCCTTTGATCCTGTAATCACAATCGCTTTATGTTTCTTAAACTTTTGTCGCGCTTGTTCCATCAGCTCTTTATTGTCAGAAGCGTCTGTTTTGCAGTCATGAATGAATACTTCCGATTGTGCTGAAGAATGAATATGAAATATATAATGTTGAACAAATGAAAATAATATTTCAACTTTCTTCTTAGAACTGTTTTTTTTTTCAATAAAACATTATTAAACAAGAAAGGTTACTACTGTTATACATCAAAACATACCTATCATATTTCCAAAAACGCCACAAATATCATGTCTCTTATCTGTTATGTTTCCTGAAAAAGTACAAATTTGTTGGCGTTATTCAAATATCCACTTTCTTCTGGCTTTGTTATTTCATGAAAGCTGTGCTCTTGTATACTGTGAAAATGTTGTTTTGTGCTTTCTTAAAATTGCCCAAGGAAATATTAGTGCTTAAACACATGTTTGAGATAGTATTGGTTTAATATTTCAGTAAATTATGACATTATGTGGGTTCATTAAGTAACTAAGACTCTCGGAGAGTAATACTACATCTATAAAATTAAAACAAGTTTCAAAAGCCTTATATACGATCAACGTCTTTCATTGCATCCAAGATGCCATTCTTCTTTTAAACTTTAAGAGTAAACGTCTGTCTTTTTTCAAAACCAGGATATGATTTTTCTTTCAATTCTTGTAAAATTTTCTTTCTAAAGTGTGAAACAATGCGTATTGTATGAGAAAAAATGTCAAATGCACTGAAAAGTTTTCACGGTCCGTAACTACTAGCTTTGTGATAAAATGAGTAGGTCAATCATCATAATAAACATAACTATAGAAAAATTGTTACCAAGTTATAGTCAATTATAGCAAAAATCAGCTTTAAGGTCAATGTCTTAAATGAGCCTAGGTCAATTTGAGTTTGATATACATGAAGTTTTTATATTAAACAATGTTGTGTCTTAATATGAAGTCAATCCATTCATTAAAAACAAAATTAAAGCCAGTTACAGCAAAAAAGAGAAAATTATAATAATTTGACCTTCAATGTCAAGGTCATTTATGAGTAAAGGTCAAGGTATTCTAGTTAACTTAAAAGTCTATTCTAGAAGATTTTTGTGTTCAAGTTTGAAGACAATTTATTAAAAAATAACAAAGTTATAGTCACTAATAGCAAAACTCAGCGAAAATCAAAGCACAATGTTGACATTTGACCTAGAAGGTCAAGATCATTTATTAATCAAGTTCAGTCTGGTCTACTTGAATGTATTGCCCCAAGGGTTGTTGTGGCCAAGTATGAAGACATACACTAAGAACTTAAAAAGTTATGATCAAGGTTAAAGTTTTCAGGGCGCCAACAGGAACGCCGACATAACTATAACAATACCTCATTTTTTCTTCAAAAAAAAAACAACAAGTATAGCTAAAAAAATACGTTTTTCAAGATCCAGTGGGTTCTTTTCATCAGTTGGCATAAACAGCTCAATAACGTTTTTGAAGATCTCATTATCGTCATGATTCTCCTTCCATTGGTTGACCTTTAAGTTTTCGGAGACTATCACAATATCGATTCTAAATTCCTTGCTCGGCATCTTACAAGAATCTAGCATGCTTTGGAATATGCGATGTAAGCGGGACTCATTCTGTTGCTCTGCGAAAGGTTCGGTGAATAAAACAAGATCTGTTTCGTTTGGATCGATACTATTCCAGTCATCAACTGTTTTCATTTCACAGCATCTATCTAAAGGGTATTTCTCCGACCTAATGATCGCCGATAAAACTGTTGCGAGGTAACTGGTGTTTTCGGAGCCAGTGACTACTACACAATGGTTTTCTTCAAGAATACGCAGTATTTCACGTTCTTCCGGTTGACATTTAAAATCTTCTGGTAATTCCCTTTCTATAGTTTGTCTAAAATTATCTAAAATAAATAATGCAACGTATGCAAAGTCATCATTGTTTCAAAAATAAATACAATGTAATAAGATAAACAATAACCAATAAATAAATAAAATAACAAAGGGATTATGGGCCTTAAAGCGCTCACTTGAATACATTTTGTTATTTATATAAGGGAAATTTTAACAATAGGGGCAAACGTTGAACAACAACTATGGTAGAGGACGTTAAGATGATATAATATACCAAATACCTAAGCTCTTAAGACAAGATGTTTTTTTTAGTTTTTACTCATTGTGCTCATGTGAGCTTGTAAAGAATATTTTTTATCTTTCATTTTTTTGAAGTAATAACAATGCAAAATATATTCTGTTTAGTCTGAAAACGATAACAAACAAGTTCTTAAATGAGAGTTAAGAAAAAAGATCTTACAGCTGCATACCTTGATATGTGGTAAATATTTTAAGCAAATCAAACAAAAGAAAAATATTGTTAGATTTTTGAAAAGTTTAAAAGAGTCAAGATTCAAGAACATTGTAAAAATGTACATGTTTTGTGCAATTATTGATTTATTTTGCAGCATTTTTAACATATTTCTACTGCGTGACTTACGCAGTATTTAAAGGCCATTTCTGACCTCTTTATTAATTTACAAATATGCATGCTGAATGAAAGTGCCGTTTGCATTGTGAAATTACCAATTTATTTGGAATAAAGTGCCGTATGCATTGCGTACTTTTTTTGTTTACTTCACAAAATTTTACTTATTCGATAAAATGTTCATGAAAATTAGACGTATGAATCGACAGTTATGCTGCTTTAATGCAAACAAATTAAGTTCTTTGTCTGTCAAGATCCTAAAAGTTTTTGAATATTCTTAGAATAAGTCGTTTTAATTACAATAATAAGTTTGTAAAATAAATTGGTGAAATTTGTATCTTAGAAATCAACAAATAGGACAACAATGTTTATGTTGCAGGTCATAATTCATTCTAGGGTTATTTTACATGTACACCAATAAATTAATTTTTTCGTGACAGTTGACCTAAAACATTAAGTCCGTTGTTCAAAAGTCATGTGGCATAAGCAGTCAGACACTTGCAGAGATACTGGTAACTAAAATCCACAAATAAATAAATAATTATGCTTTCGCCCAAATTGCCGTTCCCTAGATAACTGTTTGTTTTTCACGTCAATGTTAGTTTAATTTAAGTTACCAGAGGTCATTAACTATAAAACATGGACAGAACTATATAAAATATAAAAAAAACATTTTGAGTGTCAAATAACTCACAATGTTTAAAAAAACAACCACAAATACAACAACATATATATACATCTTTTTCCATTTGCTTTGTCTGGTAAATAGATATTTCTAGTTGTTCTCTAATCCCCGCATTGTGATTTAAACTATTAAGCTGTCACACAGCAGATGATAGGTTTTACTATGCGAAGTCATCTCTTATTTACTATAATTAATGCACGGGGAACTATTCAATTATCTTCAATTATCTTCAGTTCTAAGAAATGCATGCATTTTCCTCTTATTTAAGCAATATTATAACTTAAGGTCAGATTGAAGCATTATTCATGGCTGATATTGTACTACTACGCAATATAACAATACTTGTAACATTATGTTGCATATTTGTGCTTTTGAATAAAAGAGAGTGAAAGTTTTGCTTACCTCTTAATTTGTTCACGCGTACGTCTACAATTTTCAATACCTTTTTAGCTGGTCCCCCTGTAAGATGAAATTATGGACTTGTCATTATTATATATTTCCAAAAATATGGCAAGAGACTTTTTAAATGATATAAATAATCAACATTTAAATAAAAATTAAAATAGTTGACCATAATCTGCTTTGTATCTATGTTCATGTAGTAAAAAAGAAGTTATTGTAAAATTTTTAATGAAAGAAGTTGAATCCGTGTATTGACTAGTACTGTTATCAAACCAGATTATGTGACACCGCATTAGTAACTTCTAGTAAATTAAAATTACCTTTCGAAATAGGTCTTTTATGAGAAACACCTTGAAGGATCTGTAAAGATGATTCAGATGTTTTCTTAACTTGTAAAGTTTCTTCTTTGAGTTCTTTGATTTCGTTCTTAAGTTCAATTATGATATCTTCATACCAGCTTTTGAGTGTATCGCCTAGTCTTGGAAGATTATTGACCTTTACTGCTTCAATTTGATCTGTTACTTCATTTTCAAACGTTGTTCCACCAACTATCAGTGCTAAAGTTTGTGTCGCAGTTTCAATATCATTCCAATCTGAATCGAATTCGGCATCATCTGTGATAACGCTTCCAGGCTTGTGCTGCAGTTTGTTGCGTTTTTTACGAATAACTTTAATCAAACTGTTTTCACCATTCTTCATCTGATTCTCAAAAAGTCCAAGTAAGAGAGCTGATAGTAAAGTAACGTCCCATTCTGTCTCGTCAGCATTTGGATATATTGTACCATACTGATCTTTCCGTATAGATTTTTTAACATCGCTTTGTCTGAATAACATATACTGGTCAAGCGTAGTGAAAGGGACACCTGGACTTGTATCAGACTTCGCTAAATCAAGGAAATACCTTCTTAAAGGTATTGGGCAAATGTCAGTAACAAGAGTAATTAACCTATAGTTTTTGTCCTTTGAAGCCATGATCTTTTTTTAGGATTGATACTTTAAGTTCTCTCTTCTACAACATGTTTGATGACTCTAAAAAAATAAAAGCTTATTTATATAACAACACTTAAAATGAATACAGTCAAACACCACTTAAAATCAATATCTATAAACAAACACTGCTTAAATTCAATATAAACAAGAACGCCTCATGAAAGCAAATAGCATGTTGCAGCTGCTGCTTAGCAGAAAACACAAAAATCATTAACACTGCAAAACACATTTTTTATTCACGGGCTTTAACTCGGTGAAAAATCCTTCAATAGGAAAACCCGTATAATATGCGCAATTACTTTAGCTACCGATCAATGCTGTAAAGCTTCATTGGATATATGAGGAGTCCGTACAAATTCTACAAAAATCATCAAAATCATTAAAGGGCCATAATTCTGACAAAAATCATTAAATCAAAATGTTGTTTAGATGCACAACAAAACATAGTATTGATCATTCCTATAACGTTTTGATGAAAATGCACAAATAGTTTCTGAAGAGTAGTCCAAACAAGTAGCTGGTGACTCAAAAAAACCTTTTTAATTGAAGGGTTATAACTCGGCCAAAAATCATTCAAGCGGAAAACCTATGATATATGTGCATGAAATTGAGCTACCAATCAATTCTGTAAAGTTTTAATGAAATTTCAGGAGTATACTGGACAAACTTTGAAAATAACAAGAAATTCCAACGACAAACATGCCCCCTACTCACATAATTGGTAATTTTGTTATAGAAACTTGCCATAAATGGGTATATAGAAGCGTTTAGTTATAGAAAAAAAAAAGAAATATAATAAAGACTTTGTGATAAATAGTTTTCAAGATAATAAGCGGAAACCATTCTGAAATGTAAGGCACCTGTGACCTTGACCCTTGACATATTTACCCTAAAATCAATAGGGGTCATGTACTAGATATGACCAATCAATATGAGAAATATGAAGCCTTGGTGATAAAAAGCTTTCAAGATAATGAACATAAACCACTATTCCATTCAAGGACCCTGTGACCTTGACCTTGATATAGTGACCCCAAAATCAATAGGGGTCATCTTCTAGTTATGACTAATCACTATGTGAAATATGAATACTTTGTGATGAATACTTTCCAAGATAATCAGCGGAAACCATTTTGACATTTAAGGCCACTGTTGGCCGGGTCAAATTGAAGATATGATACGGAGTCTAAAAAGAAAAGAATAAGTTCTTAATTCATTGCCTTTATTCTTTCTACTTAAAACATGGCGGAGACTGCCGTTGCATAACAACATGTGGCATAAAAACATTTAACTAATTGTTCAACTAAAAATATAACAACATTTCAACTTTACTCATGTCTAGGGGTACATGCAAAGAGTATTAAAATATAAATCATTATCTTTATAATACTGCAATGTAAAATGTTTGGAATGAATAATAATAACCTGATTAACAACACAACCTTAATTATTTATATATCTGATTGAAATAAAAACATATTAAACTGATGATTACTAAACTGCTACTATAGATACTTAACTTGAGAATTTAATATTATGCATAAAACAATAACAATCTAAATAATTGGCACAAATGATAATACTGACAATCAATTAATTTGGCACTTATAACTGTATATACTTAACAAAAGATGAAAGATAATAATGAATTTTCATATGTTCAGTTAGACAAATAGCATAAAACCAATGTTCAAAACAATATTTTATATGTTCAACTTTATGTTGTTTATTTAGTAATGTTCAAACAATATGTTACATGTTCGACTTTATGTCGTTTAATTGCCTTTGGGTTCATTTACCGAGCTCTTTCCAAATATGGCATAAAACATGCTATTCTAAATAATTGTCTAAACAATTATTAAACTGTATTTTACTTACAAAAAGTTCATAGTTATCATAATATGAAAAAGGCAAAGCCTCAAGGCGAGCTCGATGTACTTTTTACGAATAATCGCTCATTTTTATTTCAAATGCAGTAACGAGTGCGTGTGACGTCACACGTACTGTGTTAAATATGGCTCCGCCCCTGTCGTGAAATGAATAACGAGTTTTGAAAACGTTGATAAAACTGTGTTTATTTTATTTCACTCTATAATTTTTCAAAGCGAAATAAAGATTATTTAAAGTGAAATAAATGTAAAACTTAAAACGTTTGCGACTTAAAATAGCGTACTTAATTTGTTTGTTTTGCACGTGCTGTTTGGCGCTACATTGTGACGTCACGTAAACAATAGCTTTAAACGTCTGTACAGCGTTAACGACTGAATAAAAAGATATTGGTGTTCGTATTCATTTTCTTAGTTAGACCATTTTTCTTTCATTCTAGATAGTTTTCACAACAAAATTCGACAAAAAAATTGTTTTCATTATCAGATTTCAAACAAAATGGCGCCTTCGATTTTCATTTTTTATACACAGCTTCCGTTATTCTGGTTCCCTGTCCAATTATGGTTCCCATAAACGTGCGCGGGTGACCAGTCTACACATCCGTTTTCAGTCAGAATTCCTCAGTTTTTATCGTTATCTTTAAATTCGAAAGGTTGCGATGTGTCCAATTCGGTACTTTGGACGAAAGTTTTCAAAACCATCACTTAGCAGGTACTCGCGTTACCGTAAAGCTCGCTTTGCGAGCAGCAGCTCGTCGAGCTCGCTATAAAATGCGTATTAACAATAAACAAAATTAACAAAATACGTATGTAAAACGTTTATCCGCGAAAACATATGACTCTCAACTTTAAACATGTTTGCAAGCTAAACGATACAATGTCATTGATAACAGTTACGATAAACAAAAAATACAATGAATAAACCTATCGAAGAAAGTCTTTTTCTTTCTCTTACTTGTTAATATGAAAAAGGCAAAGCCTCAAAGCGAGCTCGATGTACTTTGAACGTGAAATAGTATGAAATAATCTCAAATGCAGTGAAGAGTGCGTGTGACGTCACACGTACTGTGTTAAATATGGCTCCGCCCCTGTCGTTATATGAATATCGAGTTTTTGAAAACGTTTGATAAAACTTTGTTTTGTTTATTTTATTTTCACTCTATAATTTTTCAAGCGAAATAAAGATTAATAAAAGTGAAATAAATGTTAAACTTAAAACGTTTGCGACATTAAAATAGCGTACTTGATTTGATTGTTTTGCACGTGCTGTTTGGCGCTACACTTGTGACGTCACGTAAACAATACTTTAAACGTCTGTTAACAGCGTTAACGACTAAATAAAAGATATTGGTGTTCGGATTCATTTTCTTAGTTAGACCATTTTCTTTCATTCTAGATAGTTTTTTCACAACAAAATTCGACAAAAAATTGTTTTTTATTTATCAGATTTTTCAAACAAAATGGCGCCTTCAATTTTATACACAGCTTCCGTTATTCTGGTTCCCTGTCCAATTATGGTTCCCATAGACGTGCGCGGGTGCACGTGACCAGTCTACACATCCGTTTTCAGTCAGAATTCCTCGGTTTTTATCGTTATCTTTAAATTCGAAAAGTTGCGATGTGTCCAATTCGGTACTTCGGACGAAAGTTTTCAAAACCATCACTTAGCAGGTACTCGCGTTACCGTAAAGCTCGCTTTGCGAGCAGGCCCTTCGGGCCAGCTCGTCGAGCTCGCTAATACTTACCTAAAAAGAAAAGAATATGTTCTTAATTCATTGCCTTTATTCTTTCTACTTAAAACATGGCGGAGACTGCGCCAAATTACCGCAAAGAATAACTTACGCAAAGAACGCTCAACATTTTTTATAGGGGTGCCTTCATCAACCTCACACAACTGTGACCTTGACCTTTGAACTAGTGACACCAAAGTCGATAGGGGTCATCTACTGGGTAATATGAAAAAGGCAAAGCCTCAAAGCGAGCTCGATGTTTACTACTTGTATGAAAGCTCATTTTTATTTCAAATGCAGTGACGAGTGCGTGTGACGTCACACGTACTGTGTTAAATATGGCTCCGCCCCTGTCGTGAAATGAATAACGAGTTTTGAAAACGTTGATAAAACTTTGTTTATTTTATTTCATTCTATAATTTTTCAAGCGAAATATAGATTATTTCAAGTGAAATAAATGTAAAACTAAACACGTTTGCGACATTAAAATAGTGTACTTGATTTGTTTGTTTTGCGCACGTGCTGTTTGGCGCTACGTTGTGACGTCACGTAAACAATACTTTAAACGTCTGTACAGCGTTAACGACTGAATAAAAGATATTGGTGTTCGGATTAATTTTCTTAGTTAGACCATTTTCTTACATTCTAGATAGTTTTCACAACAAAATTTGACAAAAAAATTGTTTTTTATTTATCAGATTTTTCAAACAAAAATGGCGCCTATCGATTTTCATTTTTTATACACAGCTTCCGTTATTCTGGTTCCTTGTCCAATTATGGTTCCCATAGACGTGCGCGGGTGACCAGTCTACACATCCGTTTTCAGTCAGAATTCCTCAGTTTTTATCGTTATCTTTAAATTCGAAAGGTTGCGATGTGTCAAATTCGTAACTTTGGACGAAAGTTTTCAAAACCATCACTTAGCAGGTACTCGCGTTACCGTAAAGCTCGCTTTGCGAGCAGGCCCTTCGGGCCAGCTCGTCGAGCTCGCTATAACAGATTTAACAAGATTTTGTGTATCTGGTAACACACAAGACACCCTTTTTAATCAAGGGCCATATCTCTGCCAAAACATTTTCAACCGAAAAAAACAACGTATAATTTGCGCAAGTACACGAGAATACAGATTTTCATTGAAATTGCTTCAGTGGTTTAAGAGAAGTTAAGTCTGGACAAACTATAAAAAAAAAATCATTAAAGGGCCATAACTCTGACAAAAATCATTGAACCGAAATATACCAAAGATATGCACAACTAGACTTGGTACTTCATTCCTGTTAAATAGATAAATACAGAATCCCTAAAGAAAGCCCAACACGACAAAATTGAAAATGTTGCAGGCTCGGTTTGATTGAGCCTGTTCATGGACGGTACTGGAAAGTGCAAGTTACCGTCCACGCCCCCTAGCACCGGCTTAAGCAGAATTTAACATTAAGTTTGGAAGAAATTGCAGCAGTAGTTTCTGAGGAGAAGTACGGACAAGTTTTGTGATGGACGGACAGACGGACGGACAGACGTCGCAGAAGTGATCCCTGTATGTTGCCAATTATCTCCGACTGTTTTTCTTTTTCAAAACGGCTTGTGCTGTGATTGACAAATACACATTTTATTTGAAATTTTCAAGGCGTTTTGAGCTCCACATCCCAAGTGTCTGTGTCAATTTTCTAAAGATACCAAGCTTCGAAATGTAAACAAAACTGACCTTACGGCTACATGAATTTCAAGCCACGGTGCATATCCATATCGGTACCCTCTTTGCGAAATCTACACAAGCAGTACCCTCTTTGCACATTCACAGGACATTATTTGCTGAAAAAAAGAACAGCGATGGCTCACAATCCAAAGAAATTGAGTTGTAACGGGGAAAGTACGTATGTCATGTGGTAAAATAGTATACCACAGAACACAAAAATGTTTTATTGACGTGCTGTTTTGTAATGAGCCCATTTTTGAATTACTGTAACTTCACAGTAAGCTACATAAATTTGATATGCCATACCTTGCCACCGCCCCGACATTTTTTTTAGCTTAAATGAATGAGTTATTTGATTATATATGCGTCCATACATATAAAATGTGTTCATTCATATATAATCTTCGGACAAATTGCAATAATTAGTCAAAAATGAAATGCTTTTAGTTCTTATATCACAGGTAACCTCTTGCTAATTTTTAACGCATTGGTGCCCTCTAAGCATCACATTTGTTTATATGGAGGGTGATTTATGCCAAAATTACATCTTGCTTTCTTACGTTACATCGTGCTTTCTAACTTGTACATCGTGCTTTCTAACTTGTACATTATGCATTCTGACATATACATCTTGCATTCTGACTTTTACATGTTGCTTTCTTACATGACATTATGCTTTCTGCTGTGTGCGACTTGCTTAATTTTATGTTGATGTCGTTATTTAACGATCAATTATTATTCATTGTTGATCTGGTATATTAATTCAATAAATTTATAACCTGCAACTGTTTTGTATTTGGGTCTATTTACTCAGCTTGAATGACGAATGTCATAAAGGTAGAATGCGCAATAGCCGAAAGCCGAATGCAGCAAGCATAATTTACAACGCGACATCTGGTGTAATAAATATGTGACACCCAAATTATTGCTAACAGGTGGCGCTACAGTTATAATTCTCGGTAAAGTCCGTATTGCGGTTCGGATTCAGTTTACAAGTTACGTCCCTTTGTTTTAAAATTTCCATTGCAAACTCAATGGAGGAAATATACAAAAGTCCGTAATTGCGGTTTTCGAGGATTTCAGTTTACCAAGTTACGTCCCTTTGTTTTAAAAAATTTTCCATTTGCACTCATGGAGAAAATATAACAAAAACGATTTAACCAAAATTTTTATATTTATTACTGAAACTCTGTAGGTTTCAAATTATATTTCCCCAGCTGACAATGACAAAGTTGCACATTTCCAAATCAATGGTTTTAGAATTTTTTTTTTTCATCAAACAAAATAATCAATAAAATAGAACAGTTGTTCAACATTGTTTAAAGTGCTTGGGGCCATAAAAACTTCTTATTAAAAAATAATTTCCCATCCTTCTTGAAACGTTCTTAAATTTGACATGGCTTATTTCCAATATACCTTGTGACCCATCCACAACATTTTAAGGTGTTTTTAATTAAAATTAGGAATTTTCTTGCCTATTTTCAAACTAAATTTTGGTACAACGTTAGATTTTTTGAATTAAATTTTGTCAAAAAATGTCTTTTTTCACTAATTTGAAATTGATTTCCACTAAGAGCTTTTTATGAATACGGCCCAGGTTCTTTTCACAGTGTCAGCTTTTTAAACTGAAGGAACTGCTGCCAAAAAATCAGCTGATTCTGAGAAAAAAAATAAATGTCAAAAACGTCTAGTCTGGTCAGACTAGACAGTTTTGCCCTTTTTTTTTTTTTTGCAGCGGCAAAAACGGGCTACCTCTCTTCATTTTGAATTTTTAAATATTACAGGGTACCTTCAATTTTTATAACACATACGTCCCACAAGGGGCACAATAATATTATGGCTTAAAAAATTATTTTGCGTTAATCGTTAAGTATTAATATTAACATAAAAGTAAGAAATTTATTACATACCTAAATTTAACGATTAACGCAATTGTGCCATGGAGTGTAACGCTGCAAAACCCGAAAAGTAGGGTTTTTTTAGAAAATTTTAGATTTATTTTTGACAGTAAACCCTGCCATTTGTCGAAGATGATATGTAAATGAACGTATTAAATATGTATGGAGCATATTTTAAATCAAGCCCAAACCGGTTCATTGCAGCCCGAAAAGTATGTCGGGTGAATGGGCGAGGCCCAAGACATGTCCGATTTTTTGTAGCTTATTGTGAAGTTGCAGTACATGAAAAATGAAGGGCACATGACAAATCAGCACTAAATAAAAACATTCTGTATTCCGGGTTGGTAATAAATCTTTTGTACGTGTCCCCCAAACCCCCCTTTTCCCTTAATTTTTACATTTGAAATTTTACTAGGATTGTTATCCATCGCGGGTTTGTTTTTAGCAGAGAATGAACCTGTGCAGTGTTAAAGAGGGTACCGTTTGAGAATTTTCGCAAAAGAGGGTACCGATATAGATAGCACCCCGTTGGTGTAAGCTTTAGGAACGAATGATTTCGAATAATATTAATTGATGAGTTTAAAAAAACAAAAATTACAAAAATGGTACCCAAGAAATGGTTATAAAATGAATATTTGGCATGTTTGGCCTGAAGATGGCCCCTTTTTGTAGGGTTTCTTTAATTTATATCGTTCAATGATATTGGAAATGTAATAGGCGATCTAACTCATTTTAAAACAAAAAAGTTTTAATACCTTAAGGGGCCAATAGTATTTGCAATACAAACACCTTGAGAAGTAAAAAAAATGTTTATTAATATCTTCTATGACAAACAATTCATTTGAAATTTAATAACCATTTCTTGGACATTTTTTTGGTACATTTTGTATTTTATTACTATCAAAATTAAATATTATGAAATCATTAGTTTCCTAAAGCTAAACTCTTCACAAGAATTGGATCAGACTAACAGTTTTGCCTTTTTTTTTCTTTTTTTCTCAGGGAATCAGCTGAATTTTTGGCAGCAGTTCCTTCAGTTTTAAGCTGACAATTGGAAACAAGAAACCTCGGGGTCGTGAATTATAAAGCCATCCCTTAAGTGAATAATTTCAAATTTAGTGGGAAGAAAGACATGTTTTACAAGGTTTGAATTTAAAAAATTCTTAACGTGTGTACAAAAAATTAGTTTGGAAAAAATGAGGCAAGAAAATGCCCTAAATTAATAGAAACACAAATTAAAAATGTTGTTCATGGTCACAGGTATTTGGAAATAGAACCATGTCAAAAAATTTAAGAACGTTTCAAAAGGGATGAAATATTATTTTAATTAAAGAAGTTTTTTTTATGGCCAAAGCACTTTAACTCAATGTTGAAACAACTGTTCTTTTTATTAAAATTATTTTTTGTTGATGAAAAAATAAAATTCTAAAACATTGATTTGGGAAATGGTGCAACTTGTCAAATTGAGTCAGCCTGGAAATTATAATTTGACCTACAGAGTTTCATTAATAAAAAATAAAAAAAATTAGGTTAAAATCGTTTTGTAATTTTCTCCATGGAGTGCAAATGGAAATTTTTAAACAAAGGGACGTTTTAACTTGGTAAACGTGAATCCGGAAAAGCGCCAATAAAGGACTTTACCTAGAATATAACTGTAGCGCCAAACCTGTTAGCATAATTTTGGGTTTCACATATTATTTACAAACAGATGTCGCGTTGTAATTTATGCCTTTCTGCTTCCCGGCTTTCGGCTATGGGCGCATTCCTTACCTTTGACATTCGTCATCGAAGCTGAGTTAACATAGACCCAAAATACAAACAGTTGCAGGTTAATTTATTTGAATTAATATACCCAGATCAACCCAAATGAATAATAATTGATCGTTAAATAACGACATCAACATAAAAAATTAAGCAAAGTCGCACACAGCAGAAAGCCATAATGTGCATGTGTAAAAAGCAACATGTAAAAGTCCAGATCAAGATGTATATGTCAGAATGCATAATGTACAAGTGGTTTAGAAAGCAACGATGTACAAGTTAGAAAGAACGATGTAACGTAAGAAAGCAAGATGTAATTTTGGCATAAATCACCCTCCATAGTTTACTTTAAACCGCATTTATCGTGCAATGGTAGTTCAATATTGCTTTGTTATGTGTGACTTAACTGTTTTTCAGTTCATGGATACAGTACATCTTAGAATGTTATTTAAATTGTTTGAATGCTCGCTTTTTAGCTAACCTGTGACCAGCATGTGCTCAATGCTTTAACTGTCAACCTGTGTTAGTTGATCATTTATTAGATTCCATTTAATTTTCTGGTTACCATAACAACCAATATGAATTACTTTAATATGTATATTGCGTATATATGGCGAAACACTTATAACTATATTTTTTATGAATTACTTAATATGAATTACTTAGCCCTGACATTTAGACTAATAACACAATTCAACACGCCAACATTTTTTTTTTGTTTCACCTGTAATTAAACATTACCAAAGACCTTTCAGCGTTTGCATCACGTGGTGTTCAATAAAAACATTACTGGATCCTATCTTATAAATTAAACCTCGTTTCCTATTAAAGATTCCAAAGAGTCCATATTATAAAATGCATATTGTAACCATTAAGCTACGTTTTCATGATCACAGTCAAAAATATCTATATCAAGTGCAAAGTGTTCGCCATATAACCTCATTTTCACTTTCAGCGGTCAAATACCTATAGCAAAATACATATCGTACTCGATATAGTATATTTTTCGTTTTCAGAGGCCAAACATCCATATCAAATCCTTATAATATATGAAGGAAAAATGTTCTGTCAAAATGTAAAAAAAAACTTGTGGTATGATTCAAGTTGAACATTGATTCTTACTTATTCTATCTGACACGTACACATTTGCAAAACCTTTATTTGGCTTGACTTGCGGCTCGTCCAATATAGGTTTGACAGATGTGTACTCGTCCCTAGAATTCTTTACTGTACTCAACAATGTAAAAATAACCTCTCTAAGTTTGTCGCTATTTGGGCTTGGACGTATTTTGCGGTGTCCAAGACTGACCGATTGATTGCTTCGGAAATGGTCAGTACCAGTCGCTTTTTGGGATGATTTAGCCATAATGCTGTACTCCTTATACATTTCTCTAGATTTGTAAAGAACTGCAACTGTTTTAAGGTGTTATACATTTGTTTCACTCAGTTTTACTAAACTGTTTTCTAGAACAGTCATCATTGGTTTATTGCTACAATTATGACTATTTATGTAAATTTGAATACATTAATTCGGAGAAGTAAAGCACTCCAGTATGCAAGATTTATTGAAATTATAACAATCTGTACATCCTCCTATTTTATCGGACCAATCATTATGTAAAAATGTGATACCTCGGACATTAGAAAAAATTAAGATTCGTACAGTGCTAGTTTTTGAATTTCACCAATTTATACTTGCATTCATGATAAATATTATATGTCCTTGTTTGTCTTTTAATTTATTTATTTAATTTACTTTAATAAATGCAAAGTCTTAATTTATTGCTGTAGAATTCCGACTACCTGTATAAGATATTTTGTTGTACATGCTTTCTTTGTGTACTGTGCTAAGAGGGTAAAAAAACATTAAAGAGAGGGTACCTGTGATATAAAAATCAATAGCAGAGTTGTAACCTATGCCGCTGCAAAACCGAAGGTATGGTGTTTTATGAATTTTATATTTATTTTTGATTCATTACTGCAATTTGTCCGAAGATGATATATAAACGAAACTGTGTAATATGTATGATTCCACATGAATAATCAAGCCAATTTTTCATTTCAACCCGAAAAAAATATGTCGAGGCGGTGGGCGAGGCAAGACATCACATAGATCACACATAGATATAACATTCTAATGTTCCGTTGTACACATCCTTCCATATGACAAATCTCCCTTTATCAGTAAAAGGAACATTAGCTCAGCAAATAATAGCCTGTGCAATGTGCATATACGAAGAGGGTACCGTTTGAGAGAGTACCGATATGGATATTCACCGTATATCAGTTCAGGTATAATTTAATCACACACCCGTGCCGATTTATTTTGCGACTCCGTAAATATGGTATTGCACGGCCGTGCATATATTTTGACGTGACGTCATTAGCGTTGTGTAAAGACGCGCTGAATGTTAGCGTTATACTATTGGCGCGTCAATGAAAATGACTTTTATTTCACTTTTAACGGTCTTTATTTTGGGTATGTGATATATAGAATATTAAATCCGTGTAAGTTCATTACTGAATTTATTGCACTCGTTAAATAAAATAATATTATGCTCGCCAGAGGCTCGCATAATATAATTGTATTCAACTCGTGCAATAAATTCAGTATTGAACTTACCCTCATTCAATATCCTCTATAATATTTCACCTCGTGAACACCAAAAGTTTGTATTTCTTTTATATACCTTTTGGTGCTCACTCGGTGAAATATATTCCGATCTAACACTGAACTAAACAAATATCCTCTACTGAGTATACATGTATGTCTCCATTGCTACTTTTCGTTAATTTTCGGATAAAAACCCTGAATACAAAGGTGCTAGTCTCATTGATTTCACCTAAAATATGTTTAACCTTGTTATTCAATTTTCATGTAATACATGCATGTGAACTCTCCTATTTTTAAGGGGCAGACTCCCACTTTCTGTAGCAATACTGTCAAAGATTTTTCTTAAAATATGGGTTATTTTCATAAATTCAAGAAATATTCCTTTTTTGATGTCAGATCTTTCTTTGTTAATTTCAAAAATTCTAAAATCTCCCTCTTTTGTTGTTATATTGTTACAGTCTATAACAATACAACAAAAATCCCTTTTTTCTATTTTAAATTTTTTAATGTATGGATATAATATTACATGAATAACAAAGTTAAACATATTTTAGGTCAAAATCAATGCGAGGAACGCCTTTGTATGAATACACAAAACGTATATGTAGATGTTTGCATTATATTGTGTAAAAGTCTGCCTAAATAGATCTATATAGAAGTAAATAGTACAAAGGTTAATTATACTTCTCATAACGATTGTACAAAACGAAAAAAAACAACATTGTTTACCTGTGGACAATCCAACTTATAATACGCGTATTACTCCTCTATTAATAAAACTGGAATAACCGTCCTTGTTCTAAATTTAGTATCAAATCTCATTATATCTTTATATGGGAAGCCACTTTATCTATTTTAAAATACTACTATAAATACCTGTTGGAATCCAGATCAGACGCTGTGAGTCACAGACGCTTGGGGGTCAGATCCTGCCCCCAACGTGATACGCCCCTGTAACACTCTGTCAAAAATATTTTAATATTTAAACACGAATGGGACATCTGCTACAACGATACAACTGGTTTTCGATCTGAAAAAATTACCTCTCAATTTATTGATCTGACCCCCAAGCGTCTGTGTTTTAAATCTGATATATCGCCTTTATGTATTGCCAATTAAACAGAATCAACCTTGAATAACTTTTTTTTTAAAAAGTGCGTTTTTCGTCTTAATATTGGCTAAAATCCATACTGTATAGACTGTAAATTATAATGAGTATAGTAAGTTATTGAAAGACTGCAACAAAGTCTGTTTAAAAAAATACCTTAATTCAATTTGAAAAATGCCATCCTCCGAAGTTCAATGTAAGTTCCCGGACTAATAAAAAATGAAACAGAAAATAAAAAGTCCTCTCATTGCTATTATGTCATCTGCTTCATTGCGCATGCACGGTTTTTGTTTCGTTTCAATAGCTCTGGATCGCTCACTTACATCTAAGTAATGAGGTCACATTGGGTTTGTTATTTTTACCAATGAATTATAATTTTAAAATATGTGTAGATGTCTGCTTCTAAATGTGACAAATATCTAAACTCTGTGTATTTAATTTCGCATAAGAAAACCTAATTAAATATGTTATAGACTACTATTCAAGTCTATAAAATAAACTTTGACATTTACACAACATTCGTTAGGACGACAAAGTGATACTACATACAAAATATCTTAACTCCGAACATTGAGACAATGTTTGGTAGATGTCCACTAGGCAATGCTGCATGCCAAATATACATATGAGCCGCGCCATGACAAAACCAACATAATGGGTTTGCGACCAGCATGGATCCAGACCAGCCTGCGCATCCTCGCAGTCTGATCAGGATCCATGCTGTTCGCTATCAGTTTCTCTACTTGTAATAGGGTTTGTAAGCGAACAGCATGGATCCTGATCAGACTGCGCGGATGCGCAGGCTGGTCTGGATCCATGCTGGTCGCAAACCCATTATGTTGGTTTTGTCGTGACACGGCTCAATTATCTGTGCATTGTTGTTTCACAAAAGAAGACTTAAATGTATTTTCTATAATAAACTTTGTGATCCCCGAGGCGAAGTTATTTGTTCCCAACGGGTATACTATATATAACTTTGGTAGTGGACCACAAAGAGATGATGATGCATCCCCAAAATATTATATAGCTCTTGGCATTGTAGTATCTGAGAAGAGGATTTCATTTTAAAAGTCTATTTTAAGCACAGGTGCCCTAAAGTACTTATGCATGGGACACATGTGAAGTTTGGTCGCAATCCATCGAGTGATTTAGGAGATGTTTTTTTAGAGAAACTGCGGACAATGAAAAACGATTATGCTCAGGTGAGCTTAAACAGGAATAAAATTTAGAAATCGGGTTTTTTATTCTCCCTATTTATAGAAACACTGTTCGACTGCGATCGCAAGCGTAACCCCATTTTTGTGTCGCCTCTACGGAGTAGTGGCGACATATAGGGATCAATTCTCCTTCGTCTGTCTGTCCGCACTCACAGGAGAGTAATTATGTGGCTAGAGGGACAATAGGTAACTGTTCTTTCTCTTTGATGTCATTCATTCCGTAATGCTTTTATTGTGGCTATTTTCTTTTGTGTGGCTAAAAAGAACAATC